ATAGCAGTTGAGCGACCGTGCCAGAACCACGGAACTCGGGAATGCCTAACCCCTTCTCCTGGGTTAACAGAATTCCTTACCCGGATTTCTGGTTCGCGACTGTTAAACAGAGTCAAATCTTTTCCTCGATTCGGGATTCAAACCGGTGACTTGGGACACCATAAATCTCCCAAGTGGCGATTCTGAATCTCTTAATAAATGAATCCCATTTCGATTGTCCTTTAATTGGAAAAGCTCCCTTTATTATACCCTTCGCGGGGTGTAGTAAGGTAAAAAAGGAGGTGTGACACATCTATTATCATGTTTTACGGAATTTGGTATTGATTGAGTATTGACTCAAAGTTGAGGTTGCTATTGTGGAACTAAATGTTGAAGTAAGACTGGTTCTTGGTATTTCTATCTCTCTGTTGTTATTGTTCATTGTTTTAGTGAGGAGAGTGTTAAAGCACGAAGGGTGATGCCGTGCAATGTTTTGTGAGTGAGAGTTTATGCACGAAGGGTGATGTTGTGCCATGATGTGTGAGTGTTAATGCACGAAGGGTGATGCCGTGCCGTTACTTTTATTTATATAGTGAGAATGAGAGTTAATGCACGAAGGGTGATGCTGTGCCATTTCTATTAATTATTATGGTGAGGTTGAGAGTAAAAGCACGAAGGGTGATGCCGTGCACTTGTCTTTACCGTGTTTAATACTTTCATTGGTGCAAATCATATTGTCTGTTGTGCTTTCTTTACTATTACAGTTTTCTTTATCTTGTACTCCCCTCATCATGTTTCCCCTCCCGTTATTATCTATTCAACTTCTATTAGTTGTTATTGTGCTCGTATATTGTTTAACTGCACATGTTTATGTATGTGTCTTGTCTTAGCCTCATCACTACTTCGCCGAGGTTAGACTCGACACTTACCAGTACATGGGGTCAGTTGTACTGATACTACACTCTGCACTTTTTGTGCAGATTTTGGTACCGGACCGAGTTGACCCTGAGTCTAGCTGCTGGCTTGATCTGTTTGGAGACCCAAGGTAGTCCTATTGGCGTCCGCAGGCCCTGGGGTCCCCTTCTATGCATTTCCTTTACTGTTTCATTTGTATTGAAAACAGTTGTATTTCCTTCAGACACCTTACTTGTAGCTTAATCTTAGTAGTTCGTGGATTATGACACCAGATTCTGGGTAGTTGTGTATAAGTATTAAAGTTGTTATGGATTTCCGTGCTTTTCTCTTTATCTTGTTATGGCTTATTTAATATTTATCACTGAAAACTTAAGAATTTGGCTTAATGATCTCTATCGTTGGCTTTCCTAGCAAGTGAAATGTTAGGCGTCATCACGGTCCCGACGGTGGAAATTCTGGGTCGTGACATCAAATCCATTAGGTTATTGACTATTAATCCTCCCTAGCATAAGCACTGCTCGGGTCTCTTGAAGACCTCGTGAACTCTTACTTGTTGGTGTGGGGTCCATTACTCAAATAATATGTAAAAAAGAAAAAGAAAAAATAGTGATTGGTTGAAAGAAAGACAAATGGTGGTCTCTGCAGAACAATTTGCAAAACCAATTCCAAATTGGTTTTGGGCGTTGCCCATCTTAAACTTGCAACGAACCAAACAATTTGATTGGTTCCTTGGGTGGCCATTTACTGCTATATATAGCAGTTGCATTTATCATTGTAAACACACCAAAATCGAGAGAAGCCAGAGAGAGTTAGAGAAAGTAATCCACAGATTGTAGTCTTTGAGATTAATAGTGAGTGTGAGTACAATTGTAGTAATGTGTTTAAAATAAAGAGTGTCATTTTTTCGAAGTTGTAGTAGTCTCTTGACACTACTAAGTTGTACTATTATAGTGGTAATATTGCTCCGCTCGGGTATTGTATTTTACCCCGTTAAAAGATTTGGTGTCTTTGTTACTCTCTTGTGTTATTGTTATTTACTGTGGATATTATTCGTGGACGGATATTATTTTTCCCAACAACGTGGTATCAGAGCTATCGAGAATAATGGTCTGTTGTCTTTTCAGTACCCGCGTCTTATAAAAGATAATTATGAGAAATTATTGGCTCTCAAGATGTATGGAAAATCGTAGATAGAGGGTATGCAAAACCCAACAATGAGGAAGCTCTGCCTTAAATGAAAAAGATGTCTTGACAAAGACAAGGAAGATGGATCAACAAGCCCTCACGCTCATCTACCAATGTTTGGATGATGCCATGTTATAGAAGGTGGCCGATGCTACCACCTCAAAGGAAGCTTGAGAGATATTACAAAATTCTCTGCAAGGAGTTGATAAAGTGAGAAAGGTAAAACTTCAAACTCTAAGGGCTTATTTTGAAGTTTTAAACATGAAAGAATTCGAATGCATTTCGGATTATTGTTCAAAAGTGAAGGCTATTGTAAGTCAATTAAGAAGATACAGGAGGACATAGAACTTGTCCGTGTGGTAGAAAAGATCCTTCGCACTTTAACACCTAAATTTAATTTTGTGGTGTGTGCTATTGAGGAGTCTAAAGATTTAGACTCTATTATGGTAGAGTATTTGGAGGGTTCTTTACAAGCTCACGAACAAAAGATCAAAAGGAGACAAGAAATGCCATTGGAGCAACTTCTTAAAATTCAGGCATCCTTCAAGGATTATGGAGGTGAAAAGAGCTACCGAGGGAACGGACGAGGACGAGGCCGTGGCAGTCATGGAAGAGGAAGAAGTAATGGTAACAACTTAAACAATGAAGTTAAAATCCGTAAAATATTCAAAGGTCGTGGTCGTGGACAAAGAGGAGGAAAATGACGTGGCTACTACCAAGAAAATAATGGGCAAAGGTATGACAAATCAAAAATTGAGTGTTATAATTGTCGTAAATGTGGCCACTACTCTTGGTAATGTCGTAGCAACGTTGAAGAGAAACCTAACCTTGTTGATGATAAGAAAGAAGAAGATGAGTCAACATTGTTACTGGCACTCAAGGAACAAGACATGGATGATTGTAGCTCGTGGTATTTGGACAATGGAGCAAGCAATCATATGAGTGGATGCAAAGAGATGTTCGTGGAGATCACTAAAACAGTGAGAGGTAATGTGTCCTTTGGAGATACCTCAAAGATTCAAATTGGAGGGATAAGTACGATTTTGATCTCCTGTAAAAATGGTGGCCATAAGTTAATTCAAGACGTTTCTTATGTGCCAAAATTCAAAAGAAATATTTTGAGTTTGGGCCAACTTCTTGAAAAGGAATATGACATCCACATGAAAAATATGCATCTTTGGCTTAGAGAAGTGGAATTGTAATTGCTAAAGTGCATATGGCAAAGAATAGATTATTTTCTCTGAATCTTAAGAAAATTGATGCAAAGTGTTTGAAGGCTAATGTGCAAGATGAATCATGATGTTGACACATGTGATTTCGGCACTTGAATTTTGAAGCGCTCAAATCAATGGGAGAAAAGAACATGGTGCATATGATACCATCAATCAGCCATCCCAATCAATTGTGTGAAGCTTGTCTTCTTGGAAAACATGGAAGGAGGAGTTTTCCAAAGGTGGCCATGTCAAAATCAACCAAGCTGCTCCTGATTGTTCACACTGATATGTCTGGACCAATCAATCCACTTTCCTTTGGTAAAAATAAATATTTTCTGCTTTTCATTGATGACTTTAGCAGAAAGACTTGGGTTTATTTCTTGAACCAAAAATCTAAAGCTTTTGCTACTTTTAGAATTTTTAAAGTACTTGTGGAAAAAGAAAGTGGCTATGAAATAAAAGCTTTAAGGTCCGATAGATGAGGTGAATTCACTTCAAAAGAATTTAATAACTTTTGTTAGTCTCATGAAATTCGTCTCCCTCTAACGATACCTTATTCACCCAAACATAATGGAGTTGCAGAGAGAAAGAATCGAACGATTCTTAATATGGCTAGATGTATGTTGAAAGCTAAAAATATGCCCAAGAAATTTTGGGCCGAAGTTGTTTCTTGTGTATTTTGTTTGAACAGCAGGTCTCAAACAAGAAATGTTAGAGATCAAACCCCTCAAAAAGAATGGAGTGGAAGAAAGCCAAGTGTTAAGCATTTGAGAATCTTTGGGAGCATAGCCTATGCGCATGTGCCACATCAAGGTGGAGCAAAGCTTGACGATCGAAGTGTCAAGTATGAATTTGTTGGCTATGATACGAGTTCAAAAGGCTACAAGTTATACAACCCAAGCAGCGGCAAGGTGGTGGTAAGTCGCGATCTAGAATTTGATGAAGAATTGTCATGGAATTGGGAAGCTCAGGAAGAAACTTCATATGATTTTCTTCCATTCTTTGGTGATGAAGAAGAACGATAGACCGTGGAACCTGTGCGGGATATAACTCCACCTCTTTCTCCAACCAATGTTGTATCTCCCTCTTCTCAAGAAAGTTCAAATGAACAGCCGCAAAGGACAAGGAGTATTCAACAGCTCTTTGAGGACACAAAAGAATTTACTAATTTTGGTTTTTTATATTGTCTCTTTGCTGACAGTGAATCAATGGACTTTGATGAAGCTATTACAAACAAACGGTGGAGACAAGCCATGGAGGAGGAGATCGAGTCAATAGAGAAGAACAACACTTGGGAGTTAACAACACTTCCGAAAGGTCATTGAGCAATTGGAGTTAAATGGGAATACAAGGCAAAGAAGAATACTGATGGAGATGTGGAGAGATACAAGGCACGACTTGTGGCTAAAGGCTACAAGCAAATGCAAGGCATTGACTATGAAGAAGTCTATGCACCTGTTGCCCGCATGGAGTGATTCGTTTGCTAATATCTTTGGCGGCGCAAATAAAGTGGAAGATCCATCAACTAGACATCAAGTCAGCCTTCTTGAATGGATATCTTGAAGAAGAAGTCTATGTTGAACAAACCACTGGGCTTTGTGGTCAAAATCCATGAAGATAAAGTGTTGCCGTTGAAGAAAGATTTATATGGATTGAAGCAAGCTCTACGGGCATGGAATAGTTGCATCGACAAGTATTTTCAAGACAATGGGTTTACTCATTGTCTCCGTGAATATGCTCTTTACCTTAAAGTTCATACTAATGGAGATATCTTGTTTGTTTGTTTGTCTTTATGTTGATGATCTTATTTTTACGATTAATAACCCAAGTTTGTTTGAAGCTTTCAAGAAAGATTTGTCCCGTGAGTTCGAGTTGACGGACGTAGGGCTCATGTCATACTACTTGGGCCTAGAAGTGAAGCAGATGGAGGATGAAATTTTTATCTCTCAAGAAAGCTATACGAAGGAGATCTTAAAGAAATTCAACATGCTCGATTGCAACCCCGTAAACACACCGATAGAGAGTGGGACAAAATTGTCCATATTTGACGAAGGAGAAAAAGTGGATCCCACATTTTTCAAAAGTCTTGTGGAAAGTTTGAGGTACATAACTTCTACTAGGCCAGATATACTCTTTGCAGTTGGAGTAGTAAGTCACTTCATGGAAGCTCCTACCTCCACTCATTTAAAGGTCACTAGAAGAATTCTTCGTAACCTAAAAGGTGCGATCGACTTTGGATTATTTTATTCTTCTAACGATTTCAACCTTGTGGGATTTTGCGATAGTAATTATGCGGGAGATATTGATAATAGAAAAAGTACAACTAGTTTTGTATTGTTCTTGGGTGATTCTGTTATTTCTTGTAGTTCAAAGAAACAATCAATTGTTACTCTCTCGACTTGTGAATCTGAATATATAGCAGCGATATCATGTACATGTCATGTTATTTGGCTTAGAAGATTGTTGAAGGAGATCAATCTACCTCAAATTGAAGCTACAGAGATTTGTATTGACAACAAATCCGCACAGGCACTCGCGAAGAATCCAGTGTATCGTGATCGAAGCAAGCATATTGATACAAGGTATCACTTCATCAGAGAACGCATTTCCAAGAAGGAAGTCGAACTCAAATATGTGAAGTCTCATGATCAACATGCAGATATCTTTACAAAGCCTCTCAAGTTTGACGATTTTCAGAGATTGAGATCAAGACTTGAAATGAAGAAGAAAAATCAAAATTAAGGGAGAAATTTGTGGGGTCCAGTCCTCAACAAATAAGTAAAAAGAAAAAGAAAAAATAGTGATTGGTTGAAAGAAAGGAAAATGGTGGGCTCTGCGGAACAATTTGCAAAACCAATTCCAAATTGATTTTGGGCGTTGCCCATCTTACAACTTGCAACTAACCAAACAATTTGATTGGTTCCTTGGGTGGCCATTTACTGCTATAAATAGCAGCTGCATTTCTCATTGTAAACACACCAAAATCGAGAGAAGCCAGAGAGAGTTAGAGAGAGTAATCCACAGATTGTAGTCTTTGAGATTAATAGTGAGTGTGAGTACAATTGTAGTAATGTGTTTAAAATAAAGAGTGTCATTTTTTTCGAAGTTGTAGTAGTCTCTTGACACTACTAAGTTGTAATATTATAGTGGTAATATTGCTCCGCTCGGGTATTGTATTTTACCCCGTTAAAAGATTTGGTGTCTTTGTTACTCTCTTGTGTTATTGTTATTTACTGTGGATATTATTCGTGGACGGATATTATTTTTCCCAATAGTTGGGGTTTGAGAATTCTGGGAATTCGAAGGCTTTGTTTGAGTTTTGATCCAAAAGTTGATATTCATACTGGTTTCTTTATTATTTCTAACTTTGCTTTGAAACTAGTAAGTTCTCTCACTCTTGCAATTCCTTTCTCGGTGGTTAACTAGTCCTACTATGCCTAATTTTCTTGAATAAGTCAGTGATGCAAGATTCTCATTAAACACATTAGTAGAATCATGTGTTCGCTTTCATATTCTAGAATTTGTCCTGATTCTGTAATTGCTCGGCATGCCAGATGTTCCCTAACTTGCTTAAGTTCACTTGTTTAAGGAGTCACTGATACTTAAAAAGAACTAATAAGATGTGACCTCAAACTAGTTTATAGTCTGATTCAACTTGTCTTCTGAGTCTCAGAACACATATTTTCCAATACTAAAGTTCTTCTTGTGTATATCTATGAGATAGTTGATCACTCTGTATACTAAAGATGGTTTGAATCTTAGAATTGCTACTTAGTGATTAATGTTAATTACTCTGAACTTAAGGTATAAGTCTATGTGTAAATTCCCTAGTATATCAAACTTGTAGCGTAGTCATATGCATATCTTTCTGTTTAACTTCTCTGTGAGAACGTTTTTGCATGTACAAATGTGATGTCATGCTTAAGTTCTATTTTCCTCTGCTTAAACATGCTTGTCTCAACTGCACTACTTATTTAACAATGTGTGTGTCACTGAATTTCATTTAGAAAAGCATGCCCATAAAAATTCCGTTCCTACCTTTGTTTGATCAACTTGAGAATTGCTAAGGTTTTTCCTGTAGCTTCACCATCATATTGAGTTCTGCCTTGAAATTTCATGCCATGAAGCTTTTTTCCCATTTGTTCTCCTCTTTCTAGTTGGCCAATTCTGCAATAGAGGACCTGTTTGTATTCTGGTACATATGCTCTTTGCATCTAAATCATAACTGCAATAAGTCATGCTCATAAGCATTTATCTACTTTGCCTGCTCTTTCGAATGATAGGACTCAATTGGCATGTCTACTGATCATTTCTGAGTTCAGTTCTTTTGTGTAATTAAGATAGATCATTTTATACCCATCATCATGACTAGAATCTTTGTTGTAGACTCCCTTCTCTATCTCCTATGTTTAAGTTCTTAAAAAGACACGACTATGAGATTCTATCTCTACCTCTTGTTTGATTAATTTTGAACAAATATATGTCTTCCTATTACATATGGTCTTTGTGTTCAAGCCAAGTTAGCATTAGAAACCATGTCTATAGGACTTTTTCTTTCTTATCTGCTAAGTTTTGTGAACATCAGTGAGGGTCCATGTGCAATTCCCCTACTTTTTTGGCATGTATTTTCCATGAGTTGAGAAACATGTCCACAAGATCCCTCTTTCTTTCCTTTTCCTTGCTTTTGCTTGGTCAATTTTGAAGAGTAGAAAGCATGTCTTATATGTATAGATGTCTGTTATTTGTTTTATGTGTTCAAGTCAAATTTCATAACACGACAGCTAGAGAACTTGCCAGCGGGAACAAAATTCACATTGTTAGATATCTCTCCTACTTGCATGGACTGAACGCGTGTGTGAATAGATATAATGGTTGCATGAAACATAGTAGGCTATTTCTGAGGTTAGGATGTTACACCCCGTACTTTTATATTGGAATGCATCTTAAGTGAATTAATATAAGCCGGAGATTTTAAGGACCTTTACAAAAATAAAGATGAGTTAAAACATGTGTCAAGAAAGTATCGTGAGGGTTGGAGGCTAAACGACTCAAAGATGTCATAACACGTACTTTCGGAGTAAAACTAGGAGTGCATAATATATTAAGCAGGTTGTGTTTTAGTTACTTGAATCATATAATATTCATAAGTTAAGTTTTGAAGTCAAGCAACTGGTAAAACAATAGTCGACAAAAGCTGTCGTAAGATACGTTCATAATCTTACTGAAATTTGGGTCTAATGTCACTGAGCTTTTCATCCAATATACCTGGAGGTACAGGGTGATCCACCCACCAATGAAGATCTACGAGTCTAGTTTCTAACACATTACACCGTTTGTCGATATGACATCAGAGCTGTAATGATCCAACTGGTTGTTTTGCTCTCTAGATCCTCGTTCCCCTAAGTAAGACTCCCGGTATGTGCTTTTACTGTTTTATGACTTGCAGGGATGGTTGATTCGAGTTTGGAAGGGTTCGGGTTAAAATTGCAACCCTTAGTTCCTTAACTGTAGCCTATAATGGTTATGTTTGACTTGAGTCAACGTTTTGAGTAAACGACCTCAAAACCGAGATTTGACGGACCCAATAGATTCGTATGATGATTTTGGACTTCGCCGTGTGTTCGGATCAGGTTTTGGATAACCCGGGAGCGTTTCAACGCTTAATATTGAAAGTCGACACATTGAAGGGTTTTCAAGTACTTTAAGTTTGACTTAGAGTAGGTTTTGATGTTATGTAATAACCCAGCCGGTCGTTTTGAGAATTTACGCCCCGATCCCCTATTAACTGCTTTCCCCGTGTTTATTTCTGCTATTGTGATTTGCCGGGATGATTCGTTTTGAGTTTCGGAGTATTTTGGGACACTTAGTCCCTAAATGAGAGCTTAAGCTTTAGAATTTGGACCGTAGTCGGAACAGTGTGAAGACGGCTTCGGAATGGAATTCCGTCAATTTCGTTAGCTCGTTGGGTGATTTCGGGCTTAGGGGCGTGTTCGGAGTGTGTTTTGGAGGTCCGTATCTTATTTAGGCTTGAAATGCCGGAAGTTGAATTTTTGAAGTTTCCGGATCGATAGTGAAATTTCGACTTCGGGGTTGGAATCCGATTCCGAAAGTTGGAATAGTTCCGTAGTCTTGAATGTGACTTGTGTGCAAAATTTGGGGTCAATTGGACATGGTTTGGTTGGTTTCGACATCGGTTGTAGAATTCTTGGGATTTCAAGTTCATTAGGCTTGGATTGGAGGGTGATTCGTGGTTTTAGCGTTGTTTGATGTGATTTGAGGGTTGGACTAAGTTCGTATGATGTTTTAGGATTGGTTGGTATGTTTGGTTGAGGTCCCAGGGGCCTCGGGTGAGTTTCGGATGCTTAACGGAATTGGATTTGTACTTAGGCAATTTTCTAAACTTGCTGAACCTGTTGGTTTCGCACCTGCGGAGCTTGGACCGCAGGTGTGGCGCCGCAGAAGCGGGTTGGCAACCACAGATGCCGTCTAAAGTATAAGGGCAGTTGGTCGCAGATGCGGCTCAAGGACCGCAGAAGTAGAACCGCATCTGCGAGGTTAGGAGCGCAGGTGCAAAATCTGGTCATTTAGTGAAGTTCCGCAGGTGCGGATTATGAGCCGCAGGAGCGGGACCACAGGTGCGGTGGACCCCTTGCAAAAGCGGAAATCGCTGGGCAGAAAAGAGAGAAATCGAGGATTTGAATTCATAACTTCTAAAAATCGATATTGAGCTCGGTAGAAGGCGATTTCTTGAGAAATTTTGAAGGAGAACTATTGGGTAATGAATTCTAACTCTAATTTGGTTCTAATACATTAATCTATTGTTATTTTTCTCAACTAATTAAGAAATTTGAGGGTAGAAGTTTGGAAATGGAGGAAAAGTTTCCCAATGAAAACTCTGAGTTTTGAATACGAATTTGACGTCGGATTGGGTTGATTTTTTTACGAGTGAACTCGTGAGTAAATGGGTGTTCTTAATCCGTAATTTTTACCCAATTCAGAGACGTGGGCCCGGGGAAAATTTTTGGGCATTTTTCTATTTTCTTGCCTTAGCTTCGATTCCTTTAGCTAAACTCGTTGTTTGTAGTTATATTTACTTTATGAAATTGATTTGATTAGATTTGGGCCACTCGAAGTTGGATACTCGTGGCAAAAGCGTGATTTCGGATTGATTGAGCTTGGTTGGAGGTAAGTGGCTTGCCTAACCTTGTGTGGGGGAACTCTCTTAGGATTTTGATACTGTTGTTATATGAATGTCGTGTACGTGACGTGACGAGTGCGTACACGTGCTAATTGTTGAAAAGCCCCGTTTTCATTAAGTAAATATCTGTGTTTTCCTTTAATTGAGCAATACTAGTATTTGAAGCCTCTTGTTTAGCTTAGGAAAGCATGCTTATGTGACTTAACTGTCTTATCTGCTTTAACTGCTTACTTGGATTATGTGTAGCATGTTTAGAGTAGAATTTCCTGCTTCTTGATACGAACTTGAATAGAACTGTAGATTTCTTTCTTGAGACTGTTGTGCGTTTACTTTTGGACTACAGGACGGTATCCCGGGAGATCCCCTAGTACTGGACATTTAATTTGGGATTACGGATCGATATTCTGGGAGACCCCCTGCACATTTACGATTTGGACTACTGGACGGTATCCCAGGAGATCCTCTGCACATTTACGTTTGGGACGACGGATCGGTATTCCGGGAGATCCCCTGTTGCTATCTCTGTTTACTGAGTTATTTCTTG